TAGTTGTTGTTGTTGCTATTCTTGGTTTTAGTTGCATGTTAATATACAAATTGCTAATCTATGCTGCAGTTCTAGGCAAGACTGTATCTCAAAGAGGACTACATGTTAAACGGCCACTACTGCTGTGAGAGAGAAAGATATACGCAGAGAACAAAAATTAAATTTGTTTACATATTTTTTGTTGATATATTGAACTGCTGCTACTACTGTAAGTAATAAATATTTGAACTACGGCTACTGCTAGATGTCGTCTACGATTACTCTAAGAATATTAAACGCTTTCGAATACTAAGCTAAACTAAACTATTTTGAGTTGACTTGAAATATTTAATCCGCTTTTCGATTTTGGCGCCAAGACGCCAATACAAAATTTTGTTGGACGCCTTGCTTTGTTACATCAGCCCGACATTGTGCGGAATTGAGTTACAAGTACAACAACTGGTAGTAGTGGCGTTTACAAAATATGTCTGTCTGTGATCGTGGCTGCTTGGGTGGAATTGCTATTAAAAGTTGTTGATGCCCAGGAATTGTGATTTGATAGCGGCTGTGCGTGTCAAAGCGGTGGCTAGGGGCAGGGTCAGTGCCTGATGTGGAAATCCTGCTGTCGTTGGCTGGGTACCAGCTGTGCCGCCGCCGCCAGTACCGGGCCGCCTGCCTGCATTCGTACTACACGTACCAAACGTACTTCTACCGATGCCACAAATAGTTAAGCCTACAAAATTATTAGTTTGTTGTTGGTTTCAGTTGATTTCGAGTAAAGAAAAAAAAAACGAGAATACATTTTGAAAACATAATATTGGGGGTATAGAGGTGGATCGCGCTTGGTCTAGGACAATACGGTGTCAAAAATAATATTTAAAAGAAAAAAAGTGAAATTAAATTTCAATTTTTAAAAAATAACGAACATTTATTTTTATTTGCTGGTTTTAGAAAATATATATTTTATTTATTTTGTTGTTTGAATAAAAAGAAACAAATATTTTTTCTTAACTATTTCTTTTATAAAAATTAAAACAATTAAAATATGTAATAAAAAATGTATGTATCCAAATATGTTTACAACTCTTGTATAGTACGTATTTCAGTTACACTTGTGTTTGAAATTTTTATCTTTGTATTGCTTTTCATTAATGTCTTTGGTGGTGTATCAATGTTTAAATAAAGTATTAAAATGAAAATAATTTTTGAACAATATTTTTCATAAAATCGACCTACAGAGCTAAATTTCAAATAAAATTAAATAATCTGCATGAAATATAAATTGTTTTAAAATATTTTAGGAAATTTCTGAAAATTGTTCTAGAAAAGAATTTATGAGGTTAAAAATGTTTCATACTTTCCACTTTAGATGGCATATTCAATACGCCAGGTTAATATTAAAATGTTTGCAAAAAAAGTTCCTTACGCGTTATAAACATGAAATGTCAAATCACAGACCATTCCATAAGAAAATATTCCAAGGATCTTCGCAATGTTATGGGAGGCCTCTTTGTAAAAAACTTTGAATATATAAACTAGTCAGGCTACATATACTATGCCGGAAATTTGACCCAATTCGGAAACTACTTAAGGGGAAATTCTTTAGCCGCCGATATAACAATGTACTGACTGTAAATTTCAAACAGCGAACATATGGAGTTACTCTAAACTGAGGAAATCTTTTGTTTGTTTTCCACGGATACAGTTTTTTATAACTCCTAAACATTTTGAGATTTTAAACATAAAACAATCGCTACAAAAGGTTGACTATAAAATCATTTAAATCTGAAAGAACTGGTATATGAGGTCCGTTGGAGGAAAGATAGAGCCTGCCATAGACAAGTAAAAAATATTAAGTTTGGCTGGGCCGAGCTTCTAATACCATCCACCATTGGGTAAACAAAATAATTTTATATAAAATATCTGAATTATCAAAAAACCATGAAGTGAATGAGGCCGGTATATGGGGCCATACCGAAACGGGAACCTCCATAGACAATTTTATACTTCATGGATTGTCATCTATCAAATCTTTTAAAATACCAAATTTGAAACAATTTCGTGGGTAAATGTGACTAGGATTATCAAAATACCGAATATATATCAAAATGCTAAATATTCAATGTTCTGCCACCGGGCTAGAACCCATTTTGAACTACAAATAACAATATTTAGACAAATCCATTAAAAAAATATTGCAAAAATCATCAAAACACCGAATATCGGCAGGTACCGTTATATGGGGGCTGTACCAAAACGTGGACCTATACATTCAATGTTTCGCCACACGAGCTAGAACCCATTATGAAATACAAGTATCAACTTCTGGGCAAATCCGTGAAAAAATTTGGCAAAAATCATGAAAATATCGAATATCGGGAGGTACCGTTATATGGGGGCTATACTAAAACGTGGACCTATACATACAATTTTTCGCCACCGGAGCTAGAACCCATTATGACCAACAAATACCAATTTTTAGGCAAATCCGTGAAAAAAAATATTGGGGAAAAACATGAACATACCGAATATCGGGAGGTACCGTTATATGGGGGCTATACCAAATAATGTGAGCTATATCGTGATTTCAACAGAGGGACAGACGGACATCGTTAAATCGACCTAGAATTTAATGCTGATTAATACTACATACTTTATGGGGTCTATGACGAATATTTAGGTGGAGGATATACAGGGTTGCCCATATTCGACGGACCCATCTGGCAACGCCAGGACGACATACCGCGTTTGAAGCGTCAGTCCAAGCAGATTTTTACCATGAACCAATACACGCCACGCGAGCGCTCTGAAATTTACATTCAACAGAAGAAGTTAATTGTGAAAACTCAACTTCCAGCTTTTAAAACATTAAAAAATGTGAGAAGTGCGCCTTCTAAGAACACCATTAAGCGTTTACACGAACAATTTTCGACTGGTAAGGCTCTTTCTAATCCGAAGAGGCCATATAAAAGTCGACCAAGGCGATCGGCCGAGAACATCGCTGCCGTACGAGCCAGTGTTGAGAGGTCCCCAAGAACATCCCAAAAACGCCGTCTCAGCAGTTGGGCATGGCTCGGTCCACTTTACAACGGATTATTCGCATTGATTTGCATTTGTTAACGTACAAAATTCAATTGACGCTTGTCAATTGGAATGGGCCCAAAGGGCCCAAAGGTCCGTCGAATATGGGTAACCCTGTAAAAAGTAGTGGACTTCGAGGAACAGGCAGACGGTCATCTGTGAATGAACCTAGAATTCAGATTATTTATGCTTTATGGGATCCCTGACTAGAATCACTTCTCCCAATTTGGCCTTCATTTCGAACTTTGGCTATTCTGACATTTTTAGTCCCGATTTACCACCGTTTTCACTTTTTTTAAATTATGCCCTACATAACTATTTTTAATATTACCTACAGCTTGTCCGGTCGAATTTAGTTGGCGATCCTATACAAAATGTTCTTTTATATTCTCGCAGTTCTGGAACAGACCATATATTTTGAAAGTCAACTAACGGAAATATCGAATGTGACATCCTTATTTTTACCCAGAGGATCTATACCGAATCCTCTACAAGTTTTGCAATTTTCTTTTACATTCTCGCAATTCTGGAACAGACCATATATTTTGAATGTCAACTAACGGAAATATCGAATGTTACATCTTAATTTTTACCCAGAGGATCGATAATATTGAAATGTTAAAACTCGGCGAATAAAAATATCGAATGTGGCTATATTGTGCTAATGGAGGCATGATCTTGTCTTTGGCCGAGTAAGGACACTATGGAAAAACAGTGAAAAATTATATAACTTTTGCCCATTATTCTGGTTGTTTTTAAAATATACAAAAATTCCAATAAATTTCCAAATTCAGACATGTTGAAACATTATCACTACATTGTTTGAGTTCCCATACACCAATATATGTTGAAATTTTAAAATATGTGAAGCTAAAAGGGGGAAACACACGTAGGGCATTCTTGCAGGTTTTGAAAAAATTAAAAAAAAAAAAAAAAAAATATTACTCTGTAGGTCAATTCTTTAAGAAAATATTTGTTTTATGTTATTTTTTTAACTGAAGATAACGAAAATAAATGACTTATGGCAATTAAAAAAAAAAAAACTTAAAACTATGAAAAAACATAATAATATTAATAATGTATGATCATATACATAACATAATAAATAAAACTGGAAAGTTTTTAAGCTGATGATGTGGGTGGGGCCATCATATAATCACCAATCAAAATACGATTTTCCGGGACTACACTCATAACGCCGGCTGTTTATGATGAAGCGGCGATGAAATCAAGTCAAAAAAGCCGAACCAAAGAAATGAAAAATAAAAAAAAAAACAATTTTTATAAATAATACATTTTTATAACAATGATTTATTGTGGAGAAATAACAGTGTTAGTCACAGCAACAGACATACGCATGACATATCATAAGGCAGACATCCATCCGTTCGAAATGATGCAGAGTTACAAGCGTAGTCCCGTGCAAAAGGAGAACAAAATAGTACTGTAAACATATTTATGTATACACACATAACATGGGTTAATTACAATAATTATAGAAACAAATGTTCGTTATTTTCATAAAGGGTTAATATTAGAAACAAAAGATCAAATAATGTGAATTATTTCAGTAAAAAAAAAAAAACAAATCAATATTTCTGTTTATGATTTTTGTTCAGTTTTGATTATTTGCTTGTTATTAGGTAGTGGTTGTTTGAAGCGTGCATCAAGCATTTGTTAAAACAAGAAAATAAACTGAAACAAATAACAAAACAAAAGCCAAACTGTTTTCAGTTTTTTTCTTACAAAAATACATATAGAAGACAATGGGCCAATATTTTTTAGTTTAATTTTTTTATTTTGCAAATGATCATTCTTATTTTGAAAGATTTTTTTTAATTTAGTCAAAGTCTTTTTGTTTAATTTTGGAAAGTTAGAGGAGGATAAGTTGTAAAACAATCACATAAATCGAACAATGAAAGTAGGGAAAGAAAACTTACCGGTTGGATAGGGCAAACCAAAACTGGGATAACCCGAATATCCACGGCCGGCTGCGTAGGCAGCATAAGCGGCCGCTGGGAAGCCTGAAATGGAAATTAACATAAATTTAGACAAATAATTAAAATATTATGAGTTAAACTTTAAATAATTGTAAATGGGGAAAAACACATATCAATTTTGACTATAATCAAAATAATAAAATATGCACAATTAGGCAGGTTGTATTAAAAAACAGTATATTGAAAAAATCTATGCGAGAGGTAGGTTCTCACAAGAGTATTTCTTTTCGACCGTTGCACAGTGTGACAAAAAGTGGGAAAAAAATGCCATTATTATTAAAAATTAAAAATGTATTGACATTTTTTTAAAAAGAAGGAAATTCTACGTTTTTGAATGGAAATTTTGTAATTAAAAATAGTTTAAGAATTTTTTTTTATGTCTGTTTAAGGCTATTTTTGAGTATTTGAGTACATTTTCGTAACAAATTAACAAAAAGTTAAAATGTTCGATACTCGGCAAGTTTCCCAACAATTAAGTTGTTATTTCAGTCATACGTTCTTTACTAGCGGGTTTTATATTAAAATGGTATGGAAACATTGGTATTCAAAAATAATATGCAGGGTGAGATGAAAAAACTGCAACCAACTTCAGACTGCTGTCATTCCAATGCCACTCGTCCGACAGCTGTTTAAAATATTCCAGTGACAGCTCATTATATTGTTTATAAGCGTGAGAATTTTTCAGAAAAAAATTATTCGTGATGGAATTCAAGCGTGATAGTGGGATTTCTTTATATTTGGCTGGAAAACCACAAGTGGCTATCGTCAAGGAAGTGGACGGAAGAAAACAGCTACATCAACAGAAATGGTTCGAAAATGAAAGAAGCGACGTGATCGAAAACCGCGTCGCAGTGGCCGAAAAATGGCTAGTGAGCTGAACATATCGCAATATTCCATTCGGCAACTATTGAAAAATGAGCTCGGGGTAAAGCCATTGATATTCCAAAAAGTGCAAGAACTTAAACCGCAGCAGAAAGAAAATACACTCAAAAGAGTTAAAGAGTTACTTCGCTTGGCCGAAAGTGGTGAACTGGCGAATTTGGTTTTCGCCGATGAGAAAACATTTTTTGTCCAGCAGTTTGTAAACAAACAAAATTATCGTGTTTACTTGCCAAAGAACATGTGCACCTTCGGTTGTGGGTCGCCTTCGGTGTGGGCTGCCATAATAGCCGATGGTCACTCTACTCTCGTATTAATCGACTGTGGCATCAAAAAAATGCCAAATATTATCGCGAAAATATTCAAGCCCTGGGCACGCAAACATTTGCCCCGTAGACCTTGGACATTTCAACAGGACGCGCCATCCAAGAATGGTTACAAAATGAGGTTCCTCGCTTCAATTCCAGCGCACAATGGCCACCAAAGTCTCCGGATGTCAATCCGTTGGACTATTGTGTCTGGAGTATTTTGGAAAGCAATGTTGGCACTAAAAAATACCAAAGTATCGATCACCTCAAGCAAGCGTTTCGCCGGGAATGGGCCAAAATACCGCAGACAACATTCGGGCAGCATGTGACGCTTTCATTGGCCGTTTGAAGGCCATAATTCGATGAGCAAAATTCGTGTCAAAAGTGACCAATTCGAAGAAATTTAAACTTATTCCAAAGTTTGATGTAATTTCGGACATTTTGTCCTTTCATTCAATAAAATTAAAATAGAAAAGTATAAATTATGGCGTTTGACTTTGGTGCAGTTTTTTATCTCACCCTTTATATCTTTAAAAGTGTTTTCAATTTAAATACTGAAATTTTTTTAAATACAAAATATTTTCAACTTACCTTCAGGTAATGTCCCCAGGCCCCACATTATATTGTCTGGAAAATGCAACCATTCGACGCAAAGAGAAACAACAATTGTCACATATGGAAATGAAAAAAGGGCGAAAGAGAAAAAGAAAGAAGACAACAAAAAATTATTAGAATTGCACAAACTGTAAATTTTCATTATTTCAAATTCAATTTTGAGATAAATATTGGAATGAAGAATAAATAATTAACTATTTTAGTAATATTAATTGTAATAAGAGAAGATTAAATAATGTGTTTAAATAGCTATTGGAAAATCTAAATTTATAATGTTTTCTCTTGCTAAACATTGAGTGTTGGATAAATGTTGTTTTGTTAACTAAAATTTTCAACTAGGAAAAATATGAGTATTCACTAGAAAAAAAAAAACGGAATGATTTTCCAAAAAAAAAAGAGTTATCGTTGGTTGTCATTGCTGTTGGCGGAATATCATCTCTCTCTATCTTTTTTTGCTTAGTTGCCTTGATTTCCTCTACATACAGTACGCACACAGACACACAGACATAGACACAGACAGAGTTACGTTTACAGTATGTTTACGTTACGTTTACAAGTAGTTAGTTTCAAGTAGTTACGAAGTCATTACAAAGTATTTTCAAGTGGCAATTAGGTGATAAATATATATACGTTTCTGACGACGTTGACGACTTATTTGCTAATTATGATAAATAGCTATGTATGTTTGTCTAAATATATATATGTATATATGTACGAGTAGGTAATTAAGAACTAATTTTCGTATTTGTTTTTTATTTAAGAGATAAATATATATGTTGGCTAAAAGTTATTGAATGTTGTTGTTGTTCGGCTTGATTATATAAGTTGTCTAGATTAACAATTATTTGTTTCGTTTTATTTCGTTTCGTTCGTTCGTTTCCACACTACATTAGAGTTGTAAACTAAGTTTGTTTGGTTTCATTGACTAAAATTGTTTCCATGTTGTTGTTGCTGTTTCTATTATTGAAACCAACCATTTTGTTGTTACATATTTTCTAAAACTAAATGACACTTAATTCTAGTTGATAAATAATTGATTAGAAAGAATAAAATGACAAATTTCTTTATTATTTCTAAAATGCAAAGAATTGAAGCAGAAACTTCCCTAGTGAAAGTTGTTTCCTTCAAATCTCTGCTCTCTAAGACTAGTTGTGTTTTGTGTTTTATACAGGGTGTTCGAAAATGGGAGTGAATAAAATCAGCGAATAACGACTCAAAGGCGTAGTATTTAATTGTTGAGCATAAATTAATGATGTTTTGGCACTTTTATTTTTTAATCAATTTCAATGGTAGTTTAATGGGAAAGTCCTTAAAAATGTTCTCAAAAAATCGAAAAATACATAACGTCCTTAAAAACATAAAAGAATTCATAAAAAACCATATTATTTTGTAGAAAATTGTCATTAAAAAATTCTGGATGTCCTTAAAAATTACAGTTATTAGTGTTACAATTTCATGAATTTCTAAAAAACATAAAAAATAATATAACAAATTTGCGGTTTTCCGAAAAACCTTAGAAAAAGAATTTAAAAAATTGTCTGTTTTCTGAAAAAATCCTCAAAAAAAAATCCTCTGTTTTCTTAAGAACACTAAACAAGTCTTTAAAGTATCCACATTTAAACAAATTTCCAATTCTATTTACAAAAATTCAAGATTTTCTAAAAAATTCTTTAAATTATTAAAAAAAAAAACATTAGTCGATGTAGACATTATGGGTAAATGACTTAAGTCTGATATAAATAATATAAAGTGCAAGAATCGCGATAATTTTTGGATAAGATTGAAATGCCTGAGAGGTATCACATATAGTGGACCGAAGATCTTCTCTTCAACTACCACCCAAAAATGGTTACAAAATGAGGTTCCTCGCTTCATTTCTAGCGCACAATAGCCAAAATCTCCAGATACCAAGCCGTTGTATCAGGAGTATTTAGGAAAGCAAGGTTGGCACTAAAAAATACCAAAGTGTCGATCACTTTAAGCAAGCACTTCGCCGGGAATGGGCACAAAATACCGCAGAGCAACATTCGGACAGCGTGTGACGGTTTCATTGGCCGTTTGAAGGCCATAATTCGTGCAAAAGGTGACCAATTCGAACAAATCTGAACTTATTCTAAAATTTGATGCTATTTGCTTTCATTCAATAATATTAAAAGAAAATGTAAAAATTATGGCCTTTGACTTTGTTGCAGTTTTTTTATTTCAACCTGTATACCCTCCCCTATGTAGCCTTATAGCTGAGGGTATAAACATATCCATAGTTCTTGAGAAGAACATCTTAAAAAATCTATTTTTAAAATATTCACGATATTTAGCAAAAACACTGTTGAAAAATATATTTTAAATATCCACCATTCTCGGCCAAGACGTCCTTGAAAATATCCTGAAAAAACTTCGATTATTTCCAGGACTTTTCTTCAAAAATATACTTTTTTAAAATTCACGATTCTTGGCGTTTAAAAAAATACTAAAATCCAACGATTCTTGCCATGGTTTAATGTTATTTTCATTTATTAAAAAAGTTTAGACTTTCCAAAAAACAAAAAAAAAAAATTAAAAAAAAAATAATAATTATTATTCAATATTTTTAAAGGATTCCTTAAAAAAATATTTGTAAAAAATTCAGGATTTTTGTCCTGGTGATTTTTTAAAAATTATCTTTATCTTTCAAAAATTTTTTTCCAAAATTATGATTTTTATCCAAAACAGTCTTTATGATATTCCTTAAATAATAATTTAAAAAATTCATGAAAAGTATTTTACAAAATTCTCGATTCTTAAACAGAAAATCCTCAAAAATATTAAAAAAAAAATGACTCATAACCAAAAAATGCTTGAAAGTATTAAAAAAAACATTCACGTTTCTTTGCCTAAAAAATCATAAGAAAAATATGTATATTTTTTAAGTCCACGCCTTAATATATCCTTGAAAAATATTTTTAAGAAATCCGTGATTTGCATAAACCCTTTTTTAATTTTCATATTCGTTTGTCATTTTTCGAACACCCTGTATATAAATAAATATTTTGATAAATATTTGAGTTTAATTGAGTTGTAAATGGAGAGAAAATAAAATACACACATACACATATATATATCCATAAAAGAAGTAAATATTTGTCAATACATGATTTAGCTAGGGAATAAAAAAACTACAACCAATAAAAAATTAAAGAAATGAAAAAAAAATTAAATACATTTTTTTTTTATTTAAATGATAGTGGAAAAAACGTAATCTAGTTAAATATCAAATAGGTTTCGAGGAAATTGAAAATAAAGCAAAACAAAAAGAACATAGCATAGCACCGGAATCAATGGCAGGTTTTTGTGCTGACTCGCTGTCGAAAGGTTGATTAAAATTCCATTCGTGGCATTCCTTTTTGTGAAAAATTATCCTCTATTTTTTGTTTAATGATAACATCCTTTGTAGTTCCATTTTTTTTTAAAGTTCAGTTCATTCAATGTCGTTGTTGTTGCAGTTGCTCTCTGTTATATAAAAGTGTAAAACTTGTGTATGACGGACGTTGCTGTTGTTGTTTTTGTCGTCATCGTCATCGCCGTCATCATCATCATAGTTGTTGCTGTTTTTAATTAGTTCATCTCTCTATGTAAAAAAGTCTTTTTGCTGTTGTAGTTGTTGTTATTTCCTTCTATTTATTAATTGTTAATTAAAGTTGTTGTTGCAATGAAAGAAAAAAAGTTAAACAGGTTTTTCGTTTTTTGTTTTTAGCTTCATTTTGCTTTTTCAGCAGAAAAGTTAACTTCAACAATTGCCTATGGGCAGGATGGCAGGAATAAATATGGTCACCCTACGTTGGGGGAAAAATTGCCAAACTGATAGAAACCAAAGCTTGGCAGGAGAATAAACGCTTTTCTTAAAAAAATATGAATACGATTGGCATATTTCTACAGAAAGTTTGAAACTGGTTTAGAAAAAAAATTCTGTGCGGCAAAAATGACCCAATCATTTCAAACAACCCTAAGTTTTAATGGGAACCGTTTCTAGTAAAGAATTAAGAAAATTTTGACCTACTTTCCTAAATTTCATTGGAAAACGTAATATTTTAGTAGCACCACATTTTTACTTCTTTGAACCCTCTTCGTTTACTAAGACAGTCTTAATTCTGCAAAAAAATACTATCTCCATATGCTGTTTAATTATTTGTTCTTTCCAGGAAATTCCTAATTTCATCTCAATATTTTATTTTTCTAAAATATAAGAAATAAAGTTTTCCCAGAAAATTTAAAATAAGTTGTAATTTTCCGGTAAACATTTTTATTATTTAAAATCTAAGTTTTTAAGAAATGCGAATTTTAATTATTTCCAAAAGGGTACTTTTCGCAGTGAATCTACTTTCATTTGACATCGCATAATGACGACAATTTGCCCATCAACTCGCTTCTTTTTGTAAGCTTTTCCATCTTCTGTTTCCCAGTTGCTTTTTCTGCTGTGTTAATTCCTGTTCTCAAGAAAATACTTAACAATCTAAACAAACAAAGTCTTAGTTTTGCAATTCTCACAAAAGCATTTGCAAGTAAGACGTGGTAGACGAAGTAAGAGAAGTACGAAGTAACTAAAGAAAAAAACAACAAGACATGGTGAGAATTCTAAAGAAAGAAATTAGTTGAAACGAAAAAGGAAAGAAAAAAAGTTTTAAGAACTACTTCTTTTTTTTTAAATACCACACAACTGCTGCTCATAATTTAGTTTAGATAGTTTTTTGTTGTTTCTCTGTTCCGACTTTGTTTTTTTTACAAAATTCAACTACTTTCTTAGTGTCTACCATTGCTGATAAAATTGTTTAAAGAAGGAGAAAAAAAATGATTCTTTGTTTTGTTAATTTGCCTCATACTACTTACATAGATTCTCTAATGTTCTTCGGTAGTTTTAGCCTCTAAAGAAACGTTAATTTTTTCATGTTCGAAATTAAGGTTAATTTTTAAGATGTAATTTTATCCTAGCAAAAATCTACATATGTTTCCATTATCAAATATTTCAAATTGTAATCCAATAATTGGATTTTATTCTAGGTCTCCTATGGAGTATTAATTGTGAATGTAAGTTTTTTACAATTTTTTGTTCGCTTTTTCAGTTGCTGATCAATTAATAATCTTAGTAGCTAGGTATGTATGTACGTTTGTTTTTAATAAGTATGATAATTAATATAAGTTAGCTAAGGTTAATTACTTTTATTTGTTTCAAGAAGTGATATTTCATAGGGAAAATAGAATATAAATAATATTTCGTAGTTTCGGTTAGTATGAGATGAGAGGGAGAATTGTGCGATCATCAGTTAAAAATTGAGCCGAAACAGTGCCTTGATTTAAAAAATTGAGAACATTTCAAATTTGTGAAGCATTTGTAAATAAATTCTTATTTTTTAGTGTATTCCTTGAAACCTATTTCGACAACTCCTGTATACATTTTTTAAGGGCCATGGTTAAAGAGGACCAGGGAAATATAATAAAATAATCCAATAAAATCAATTTGTTACAGCTTAAAAATCAGTAACTTTTTGAAAAATATGTGAAACTCACAACCGAGGGACATCTTTATATGAAGGCTAAATCAATGTGTATAAATGTAACTAAAGGGAAGTTAGCCATTCATTCAAGTTTGCTGAAAAATTTGCGGTCGATATTATATTTTGTATTTGACCATTATCTCCTTTTCGGGACATACCATAAAGGTTGGACCTACACATTCTATCTAATCTTAATTGACTCTTTGTGGGTAAGGTATCAGTAGGAGTGGGCCGATCAATCCCATAGTTAAACTAGAAATGATGTTAGTGGATGTACAGCATAGTTCGATCCTCAAAGAAATATTGATGAATTATTATGAGAGCTATAATCATTCAAGATTTTTACTTTGAAAGAGTGGACCTATGTCGGTCCACATATTCAAATTATATTAATAAATGGAAAATATTTAGAAATACGAATTTTGAAAAAATTGTCGATTTAGTAAGCACGTTATGAGAGTTACAATTGTTTAACATTTTGAACCTTTGTCGGGGAGGTATCAAGAAAATCGATATTTCGATTCGTATGTTACAAGACCACTATATCCCACCTTTACACAAGGTTTTGTAATGGTAGAAATATCGGGATGTGCCAAGTTTGAAAATAAAAATATGCTTATGTCGCATTTTAAGAGTGCCTGGTTATTCAAATTTTTTATCCGTTGTAGCAGAGATAGCAGAAAGAGTGACCCCTTTAATACTACCTTCATACCAGACCTAGAGTGGGTAGAAATATTGTGATGTGTGAATTTACCAGAACGAGTCGACCGGTATGGCCCACCTCCAAAGTTGATCAAGGTTTGATAATAATATTACGATGTACTAAGTTTGAATGAAGTCGGATGTTCCCTTTAAAATTTATCTTCCGACAATGCTAGATCGATTTTAAATGTCCTGAAACGTATTTCGTCAGGAAAGACCTAGGGTCAAAAATCGTTATTTCGATGAGGCTCATCTTTGTCTATTAGAATTTTACCAACCAGAAGTTTGTTAAGTTTCGACCATGACCAGAAAACCTGCAACTTCGGCGAAATTTGTTAAGTTTCCGCCATGACCAGAAAACCCTCAACTTTGGCGAAATGTCGGAAATTGTGACGAATGAAAAATTCCCAAGCTTTATCTTACACCTTACGAAGTACAAACCAAAACATCGGATCCATGTCCATGATTTGATAAAAATATTATGAATTAAAACTAAGTGACGAATTCCAAATATTTGGTGTTTTAATATTTTGAAAAAAAAAAATTAATATTTCATATATCAATGTTTAGATCGAACCCGAATGACGTAGACATATATTTTTATTTTTTTTTTCATGAGTTAATATGTAAGTATGTGTTACGTTGCTTTAAAATCTAATAAAGTCCATTTAAGTGACTTTCATTACATCATTACATATGTATGTATTAAGATTACAAAATATTGAAAATTTACATATTCGAGAAAAAGGTCCTTAGCCTACAAATAAGTTTACCTAAATATATCTTTTTTGTTTCTTGAAATACACATAAGGACCTTCCCGATTAAATTGTTAATAATCTAAGTTTCTTTTTTGTTGCTTTCATCTAAGTTTTCGAATATTCCAAATTATATTCGAGTGATTTAGTTTATAATAATAATTATTGTTTTTTTCGATGTTTTTTTTTGTTTTACTGTTTTTGTAGCAATAATTAAGTTGTTATACACATAATGAGGAGTTAATAACATATTTTATGCTAAACCTAAAAAAAAATTGTAGACATATTCGGTTACAGATTACATTGTTATGAGTTTAATTAAAAAATAAACCTAAATATGTGTTTGGATTTTTTTTTCACACTTTTTTGTGTGTGTGAGAAATTATTTCAATTAATTAACTTTGGCATTGGATGAAAATTTGTTGTTGAAAATCTTATTTTTTAAACAAATTAAATTTGATAATTTATGGACGTGTCAAATGTGTTAGAAACGTTGAAGCTGGTCAGATTCCGAGAGTATTAGCACCCGGCAATTGATAGAGAGTGGCTCCGGACATATCAAGACCCGGAACTGAGAGTAAATCAGTTAGCGGATAAGACAATGTGGCCGTTGCTGCAGGCCTCAAGGGATTCGGGCCTGCCGAACGTGTTGCGGCCCTGGCCAGGCTGTTGTCGTGATTGACCTGTTGCGGTATAACAATGACTGCCGATGGTTGTTGATTTTGGGCAGCCGCAGCAGCTGCATATTGCAGCAGAGAGGGACCATTGACGGCCGAGGCAGCCGAAGGAGCTGATGCTGCGGCCGCTGCAGCAGCTGCTGCCCCAAATGGCAAAAAGCTGTGCGATTGTGCTGCAGCAGCTGCTGCCACGGCATTGGCCAGGTTTTGTTGCTGCTGTTGTTGTTGTTGTTGGACTTGTTTGGCAGCAGCAGCGGCAGCCGCAGCAGCAGCTGCTGCTGAGAAATGTGATGGCAACGGATAGGGGGTGTAGCGTAAGGAGGCCGTTGTTGTGGGTCCAGTCGTTGCGGTGCTACCGAATACTCCCGGATGTGTGTGGGCATGTGCATGATGTTGATGATGGTGGTGATGATGATGCTGATGGGCATGCGGATGTGAGGCATTGGCCGCAGCACTGGCTGTTGCCAGAGTTAGACCATTGCCCATGCTGATGCCACCGGCAACGCCAATACCACCACCACCAGCAGCAGATGTGTTAGCATTATTGCTCCAAACTACCAACTCACCGTAAGCAGAACGGCCAGCAGCACGAGTTTTAGCCAAATTTGCCGGTAACATTACTTCTTTGGGTTGGGCCTTCTTGCATTCGACCTGAAATGGGAAGATGAAATCAAGGTTAGGTTACATTTTTTATTGAAAGTAAACAAATAAAAATTGTTTCAATTGTTAGTTAAATAAAATGTAGTTTGAGATCTTTATTTTTGTTGTTTTTATACCCTCTACCATTCTATGGTCATTCTGTTTATAATATAGAATATATAATATAGAAATATTCATGATAAACCCTACAAAGCATACATATATTCGACGATTTAGCAATGTTCGTCTGTCTGCGTGCCTGTCTATCTGTCTGATCGCCTATCTGTTGTAATCACGCTATCTCTTGAAAGATTTGAGATAGAAGCATGCACATATGCGAATTTTGCCAGTAGGCTAAGTAGGTTACGTTCGTAAATGGACCATGTCGCTCCACATTTTCGCCCATTAAACGGAACTTCCCGATATTCGGCATTTCAATGATATTAGTGTCATTCACCCGAATTTTTCAAATTTCGTGTTCGAAGTTTGTAATAGGTGCTACAGCCTATGCCTACAAATTTCGTATGCAGGTCCATGTCTTTGTATGGCCCACAACACTTCGATTTTCGATATTTTGATGATTTTAGCAACATTAATTTTCGGAATTGTTTCAAATTTCGTATTTGAAGTTCGTGGCGGGTACTACAACTTATGTTTATGCAGGTTCACGTCATCGTATAGCTCACATGTAACGGTATCTCTCTTTATTTGGAATTTTGATGATTTTAGCGACATTATTCACCGGAATTGTTTCAAATTTCGTATTGGAAGATCTTAATGGGTGCTACAGCCTATACCCAAAAATTTATTTTACATGTCCACGTCTTCGTATAGGTAATCCTTTAAACGGTATTTTTCGAAAATTTTCAAGTTCCTTTAAAATGGTGGAGAGTATTAAAAGTTTGGCCCGGCCGAACTTAGCTGCTTTTTCACTTGTTTATTTATTTATAATTTTTCGATATTTCGTGTTCCGAAAATCTTGTCGCATTTTAAAAAATCTAAAGTCATTTGACACTTTTTGTACTTACCATTTTATTATTTATCTCATGGAAATGAATTTCACAAACTTTGTCTACCACATCTTCACTTTGAAATGTAACGAAGCCAAAACCTGTAAAGAAATATAAGAAGAAAATAAATTAATCATTTAATCGAAAAAAAAAACATTAAAATAATTATAAATTAGTGAAAAATTGGTTTTTGAGAAACTAAAAAAATGTGAAAAAAAAAAACACGGCGTAAACGCATAAATATCCTATTTGGAGGGAATATATTTTTTTCTATTTTGACAGAATCTACTCCTTTCTCTCCCTCTCACTCTCTTTCATTTTAATTTTTCATGGAGCTCATCAGGAACCCACTATCCCAATAGTTTTATGAGTATCATCAGCTGAAACCCCACACTCACACACTCTCATTTTGGAGAGAGCTTATATTCCGTTATTTTCGTTGGTTGTAGCCTCAAAGTTTTCAACTTTTTAACTGACATCTTTGAGAGGCAATGCCAACAACAAATAGAGATGAACCTTCTCTGTCTCCTGTTTCAAGTCTATGTGGAGGATATGACCATCTTTTCCCATTAAGTTTAAGGCAACCAACCCAGCAACCTAGGTCTTTTGTGGTTTCGGCTATACCCGTGTAACCGTTACAGCTGCCTGACACTTATCCATGGCAGTCCCGAACGCATGATTTTATAAGATCCTTGATGTCAGTGTATTCGTTGCTGTTGTTGTTGTCGTTGTTTGTTTAAGTTGTTAAGTTATGTCTTTTTAGTAGTTTTTGACTGTGAACTTTGTTTCGAGTGTGGGCAGGATGTAGACCACAATATGAATATAATTTGTGAGAGACAGTGTGTCGGGAGAAATTAAACAGGTATCGATATAAGATATCTCTTTTATGGAAAATACTCTGAGGAAAATGATTTTTAAGAAAATATGAATGGGATATTTGTCTAGAAAGAAAAATTATTTTGGCGTCACACACCACGCCACTTTCGCTTGAACCATCTTGGAACTATTCAGCACTTTATGGGAAAACAGAGGCGAAATCAACAAAATTTTCTAACTCTGTAGTTTTTCAGTAAAATATAAACGAGATTGCACTAACTTTTCAGTAAATATACAGGACAGGACTGCTGTCATTTCTAAGCCACTCGTCCGACAGCTGTTAAAATTATTCCAGTGACAGCTCATTATATTGTTTACAAGCTTACAAAAGTATTTTGGTGAGAATTTTCCAGAAAAAGTTATTCGTGATGGAGTTCAAGCGTGATAGTGTGATTTCTTTATATTTGGCTGGAAAACCACAAGCGGCTATCATTAGAGCACTCCAGAATTTAAATATGAATAAATATTTGTGTGTCCTACCTTCGCTCGTTACCATAATACGGGTATTGTAGCCCGACATCAATGAAGTGGACGGAATAAAACAGCAACATCAGCCGAAATGGTTCGAAAAGTAAAGAAGCGACTTGATCGAAACCTTGACAAATAAGCTCGGGGTAAAACCATTGAAATTCCAAAAAGTGCAAGAACTTACACCGTAACAGAAAGAAAATAGACTCAAAAGATCTAAAGAGTTGCTTCGCTTGGCTGAAAGTTGTGAACTGCCGAATTTTGTTTTCTCCGATGAGAAAACATTCGTTGTCCAGCAGTTTGTAAACAAACAAAATGATCGCGTTTTCTTGCCAAAGAGGTCAGCTAAAAATGTGCACCTTTGGTTGGCCACCAGAACTCAAGTGTCAGCCACGCTGATGATGTGGGCCGCCATAACAGCCGATGGTCGCTCTTCGCTCGTATTAAATGAACTTGACATCGGAATAAATGCCGAATAAAGCCTTGAGCATGTAAACATTTTGGCCGCAGACCTTGGACATTCCAACAGGACTCAGCACAATCGCGCTCAGCGTCACCCAAGAATGGTTACAAAATGAGGTTCCTCGCTTCATTTCCAGCGCACAATAGCCACCAAAATCTGCGGATACTAATCCGTTGGTCTATTGTGTCTAGAGTATTTTGGAAAACAAGGGTGGCACTAAAAAATACCAAAGTATCGATCACTTCAAGCAAGCGCTTCGCCCGGAATGGGCCAAAATACCGCAGAGCAACATTCGGACAGCGTGTGACGGTTTCATTGGCCGTTTGAAGGCGATAATTCGTGCCAAAGGTGTCCAATTCGAACAAATCTAAACTTATTCTAAAATTTGATTTCCGAAATTTTTTGCTTTCATTCAATAACATTAAAAAAAATTGTAAAAATTATGGCGTTTGACTTTGTTGCAGTTTTTTAATCTCAGCCTGTATAGCTTATACTAATATAAATAATGAATTTAATTTTATTTAATGTATTTTTAATAATTTTTTTTAAAGACTTTTCGAAATTTTAATAAATTATTTTCTTCCAACGAAATCTATTTATCTGTAGTCACTGTCGAATGGATGTAACTCGAAATGGATTTGGTTTTGTTTCAGTTGTTACTGCCGTTGTCATTGTATTATTGTGTTGTTATTTTGTTGACCAAATAACATAAACTTTGCCTTAGTTATAAGTGCAGTAGTTTTTGTTGCTTCGTTGCTGCCCTGGCTGATGCTGTTGTGGTTGTTACCCAGCTTGGGCCACAGATTACGATAAAGTTTCTGTTTAGTTTTCTGCCAGCCATGAGGGTAAAGAAGAAAATCCGCAAGGAAAAAGGTTGTAAATGATGGGTTAAACAACATCAAGTTAAACCAAGAAGGAAATGTAGACAACACGAAAAAGACAAGGACCTAAAAGATGGATAAGAAGAAGAAGCAGAAGACGAGCTAAAACAAAAAGATGACAAAGAAATTGTGTACACAAGACTTTCGAGTTATATTAAATTCAAAAGATTTGTTTATTTTAGCTTTGCGTTCGTTCTCTCTCACTCTCTGCTTATCTATCTTGAAGTATGTATGTAAGTTGTTTTGCATAAATATCTGCAAGTTATTTAAGTTGAAGAAATATAAGAGAAAATACAACAACATCCAACGCACACACACACACACACACAGGGACACACTGAAGTAAAACACAAGTTCCCCCCCTTTGGGAAAAAAGTCAGCAGGTGATGTGTCAGCAACTTAAGGTAAAGATTTTTACTAAGGATTAGTTTATGATCTTGTGTGAATGTATGTGCCACTCGATGTGTGTGTGCATGTACATGTATTGGTATTAAAATAAATTTACTAAATTTTATGGAAGAAAAATTTTGTTTGTTTTCGGTTTATTGAACAAATATTTAAAACAATTTGTTGATGGATTTTAATTGAGGCTAATGCCATCATAGAAAAAGTCATAAAAATCCTAATAGGAAAGTGATTGGCATTTGATTTCTAAGAAGCTTGCAGTAATAAATGTTAAGAGTTGTTGGAATAACATTTGAATGAATCACAAAATGTATGTGTGTGTCGAAATGTGTTTAAATCGAATGAGATTATGGTTAAAATCTATGTTGAACAAACTAAAATGTTATTACACTAAGGGGGGAGTTTTTTAGGGAAGTGTGAAAATATGTGACTGGGAAGAGCTTGAGTAACTGCAGTTTAGAAATATTTTCATATGTTGGGTCAATAACTTAGCATCAAATGTGGTATATTTTAAACAAGTGAAAAAGGCGATATGCTATACAGGGCCAAAATTTAAAGGCAATGAGAGGTTTAGAACTTATGCGAGAAGGTGCCAGTTACGAATTATTTCTTTCAAGGTATTTTACGATTGGTAAACAATTTTTACACCTCAGCACATTTCAGGTCATATCGTTATATTTATTTATGCATGGACCGATACTGGTTTCGCTTCAACTTCAAATGTCAAAATAAGGAATTGTAGAAAATTTGTTTAAATAGCTAAAATCGGGGGTACTATCACGATGTACGGGTACGGGGGCAATATCAAAACGAAAATCCTTTAAGGTTTTTTGAACAGAGTTGACGGCATCGTGGGTATGAGAGGATATTTTTATTAAAGCGAGGTTTTTAAAGGATCTTTTAATTCTTAAGGCGTGGTTTTTAAATGGATCTTGAAATGGGAAATGGATCTTTTAAGGCGTGGTTTTTAAAGGATATTTTACCCTTCTTGATGTGTGTTTTTCAAGGATATTTTACCCTTCTTAAGATGTGTTTTTTAAGGATACACTACATTATTTAAAAAAAACCTTTTAAAGGATATTTTATTTTTTATCCTTAAAAATGGAAGCCTTAAGTTTTAAAAGGATATTTTACCTTTCTTAAAAAAAATTAAAAATCGTCTATTTTTAAAGGATATTTTAGCCGTCTTAAGGCTTTGTTTTTTAAGGATCTGTAATCCTCTTAAGGCATGGTTTTCAAATTATCTTTTACACTTCTTAAGGTGTGGCTATTTTTAAAGGATTTAATATCCTTCATCGGGCGTGGTTTTTAAAGGATCGTATATCCTTCATCCGACATGGATTTTAAAGGATCTTATATCCTTCATCGGTCGTGTTTTTTAAGGGACATTTTACCTTTATTAAGACGTGGTCTTAAAAGGTTTTCAATCCTTCACTGGGTGTTATTTTTAAAAAATCTTTTACCCTTCGCAAGTCTTGGTTTTTAAAGGATATTTTACCCTTCTAAAGGAGAGTCTTTTAAATAATTTTTTACTCTTCCAAAGGCGTGTGTTTTAAAATGATATGTAACCCTTCCTAAGATGTGGCTATTAAATGATTTGTAACCCTTTCTTAAGACTTGATTTTCAAAGAATATTTTACCCTTCTTTAAAAACCTTTTAAAGGTGCCTTTTTAACGATATTTTAGCCTTCAAAAGCCGTTGTTTTTTAGGATCTGTAATCCTCATTAAGGTGTGTTTTCAAAGGATCTTTTACCCTTCTTAAGGCGTTGTTTTTTAAGGATCTGCAATCCTTATTGAGGTTTGGTTTCAAAGGATCTTTTACCCTTCCTAAGGCGTTGTTTTTTAAGGATCTGCAATCCTTATTAAGGTTTAGTTTCAAAGGGTCTCTTACCCTTTTAAAGGATCATTTACACTTCTTAAGAAATGGTTTTAAGGGAATGGTGTTTTTTTCAAAAGAAAACTATAAATGCCCTACTTCTTGAGAAAAGATAGTAATAATACGCTTAA